CAGCAGATGGCCCCGCCCCTCCCTGAGCCTGGTTCTGCCGGAGGTTTCTTCCTGTTAAAAGGGAGTTTTTCCTTCCCACTGTCGCCAAAGTGCTGCTCATAGGGGGTCATATGATTGTTGGGGTTTCTCTGTATGTGTTATTGTGGGGTCTGGTTACAATATAAAGCACCTCGAGGTGACTGTTGTTGTGATTTGTATAAATAAAGTTGAATTGAACTGAATGAAGTCAGCACTCATAGACTCCTGTGTTAAGATCAACATGTTTACAGTCTGATACACAAACCGTTTGGTCTCTGTAGCTGATTGAAAGTTTGCATTGTTAGGGGCGTGGCCTCTTTGACTGACAGGTGGATGGTGTTACAGGTGGCTGTAGCTGCTTGGCTGAGCTCTGCACCGCGTTTGTGCTGTTGGAGCCTTTTGGAGTATTTGTAATGACATCGTGTGACCAATAACATGGCTGCTGCGAGGTCACTGACCGTCCAGGAAGGCGGAGCGAGAGTTTGATGGGTGTAAGAACTTCTCAGTTTACAAAGACTGTCAGTGACACTCAGTCAGCATGTGTGTTTTTCAAAAGTTTATTTTAAAAAATTCTACTTTTACAAAACAAATATGGCTCAAATACTTGAACTTTGACAGCGTGGTGACCTCCACCTGGAGATTCCTCTGAGGTTCGTGCGGCTCAGTCGATGCTGAAAGCTTCAGCCTGGACAGAGACAACATACCCAGAAATCGTTTTCATTTCACAGAAATCGCTTCAACATCAGTGAAAGTTAACAGTTCACGTTCTAACACATCTTCATGCTCACCCAGCCTCTGTGCTGCTCCACCCAAGCCGAGTGGTTCTCCTGAATGTACCGCTCTCCAAAGCTCAGCACCCTCCTCTGGTGGACCAGACTCGTGGCTGACAGCCTGCTGGTCACTTCGAAGGCCAGAGCGATCTTCTGCCTCTGAATGTGAACCTCAGAGGGTGCCGCCCGCTCCGCCGGGTGGACCAGGCTCTGCACGCTGGAGGTGAGCTCCTTGAACATGTCATAGTCCAGGTCTCTGAGCTGCTGCTGGAGGTCCAGGTTCTGTTTGATCTGACAGAAATACACCGGTGTTCAGTACTGAGCTGCCTACCTGCCGCAGCCATCTACGCGTCTGATTCACCTTCCTGTCGATGTCGTCTCCCTCCGCTCTGATCAGCTCCACCAGCCTCAGGACGATGTCTGCGGCACAGCGAGACGCCTCGTTAGAACAGGCAGAGTAAAAGGACTCCGACATTCTCACCTTCACACAAGCGTCCTGCTGCCGCTTTGGACACTCACCATCCGTGTGCGCTGAGGTACTGAGCATCCTGTTGTGCACCTCATCACAGGTGGAAGACTCACCTGAGAAACAAACTGAGCGGTCGGCGTGATGAGTCTGAGCCTCGACACGGACAGGACGTCAGAGAAACACCTGTTCACTCACCTTCTCCATCAAGTACAACCTCCAGAGACTTCTGGAAACTTGCACTGGGAGCTGGACCCTGAGGAAAGATAACTGACCAGAGAGCACACAGGTGAGCACACAGGTGAGCACATCAGAAGACCCACAGATAATCTTTCCCGTGTTGGTGAGCAGAGGAAGGAGGAAGCACCAGCTGCGTGCTCACAGTTCAAACCAACCTGGGACGTTTCCTTTCACACGGCGGGCAGCAATCGTCCTCACTGCCATCTCAGGTGAGCGCTGTTTTGACCTCTTGCTGCAGTACTTTTCCAGCAGCTGGAACACCTCGCTGGTTTCTGTGGCATCTTCAGCTCGCTGGCTTGTCATTTTCAGCTGCTGAGAGTCAGAGCAGAAACCAGAGCTTACCAGAATATTTGAACGTCTGTATTTAAAATGAAATGAAGAAGAAACCTCCACCACACTCGCTCTGTGCAGCATTCACAAATAAAGGAGCAGGAAGAGTCGGTCAGATAATAACTATTTACAGAAAAGTGGACATCAGTGTCTGAGCCTGTTTGGTGCAAGTGGGCACGCTGAGCACGCCATCAGCTGCCTGCTGTCAAAACCGATGCATGTTCTACTGCATTTTACTGTATTCTACTGAACTTCCTCTCCTAAATGCTGTACCAACTCAAACACAATAAACAGTTATCAGGTTTATGGGGCAGTTACTTTTGCACACAGGCAGGTAGGTTTGATCACTTTGTTTGGCAGCTACATTGTAGCCACAGCCACCCTGGGGCGCACTGACAGAGGCGAGGCTGCCGGACACTGGCGCCACCGGGCCCTCTGACCACCACCAGTAGGCAACGGGTGAAGTGTCTTACCCAAGGACACAACGACCGAGACTGTCGGAGCCGGGGCTCGAACCGGCAACCTTCCGATTACAAGGCGAACTCCCAACTCTTGAGCCACGATCGCCCTTAAGAGCGAGGAATAACGGCTCGGGCTGCCGTGATGTTGGCACCTGACTCACCGTGTCCAGGACACCTGCGGAGGAGGAAGAGCGAACCTGTCGGATCAGCTGATCCTGGAGCTGCGACGCGAGCGAGAACACTTTTACTTTCACTTTGACGGAGAAACAGCTGATCAGCGTCACAGCGCAGAAGAACCGAGTCTGCGCAGGTGCTTCCTCTAAAACTGCGCCCTGCTGCCGCCCTGAGCCAGGCACGTGATCATGCAGGGGTGGAGACACGCAGCTGGGGGGGGGGTTAGTTTTGTGGTCAGGTTTCCTGTTTTTCTAAAGTCTGGCTTTCATTTTTATTTCCGTCACTGAGACTGGTTTTATTTTTACTTTAGTCTCAGTTCCTTCTGAGCACCATAGGTCAAAGTTCAGCTGTGCAGATGAGTCACAGCTTGATTTATCCTGTTAAACCGCAGCAAGCATCGTCTGAACCACGTCTGCCTCCCTGATCCTGGTTCTGCTGGAGGTCTTCTTCCTCCCCTCTGTCACAGAAAGCTGCTCAGAGGGCTCGTCTGAGTTCCTCTCTAACACTGTGAAGCATGTCAAGGTAAATCTAATAAAGACTACTCAGTGGTGTCTGCCTGTGACCTCTGACCTGCCTGTGCACCTGCAGATGGACATTAAAGCTTAAAGAGCTTTCAGAGCTCCCCCTAGAGGAGCAGAGAGGAGCTGCATGCAAAACACTGCTTTCTGCTAGCTAACTCCACCCGCCTGCTGCTCCGCAGCCATGAAACAAGCACCTCTGTCACACACCATTTACGACACACTGGTCTTTCATTTCACTTCCTCTTCAGCATGTTTGCTGAAGTCGACTTCCTCCTGCCTGCACTCGTCTGTCAGCACGCAAACGTGCAGCACGTTCTTCTGTTAGCGACGCTCGGCAGGCCCGCTCAGGCCTTTTTAACCCCTCACTCACCTGCAGGAGCCACACTGGCAGCTTTGATCTTTACAGGAATAAAAAAATCCAAAAGAGATGAAGCAGAGCCAGAAAACACAGCTGCCCATCACTGAGTGAACATCAGGAGGATAAGCGAGCTTCTCTGGCCTCAGATCAGCAGTTTGGACCCGATGGCAGAAGCTCAGCAGGGAGCCCAAGACCTGACTGAGGTGGACACAATGACTCCAGGTTCTGTCATCTTTCACCTTTAACCTTCCTCTTCTTCATTCTTCTGTCTGAACTGAGACGTCAAACTTTTAGGTCAAGTCTCACTCACATTTCAGACCTCCACCCGAGTAAACAGTGACGCTGAGCTTTAATCTGGCAGATATTTATGTGTTTGCAGCCAATGATTCACGTCAGAAACAGTGAAAAGAGGAGCTGGTAGGGAGGTGGGTTTCAAAGAGGCTGGCAGCTGCTAAAGCAGCACGCAGAGTCAAAGAGGCCCCGCCCCTAATAATGCAGCCTTTCCACAGGTGTGCCAGTCCAGCAGTGGGTGCTGACTCGCTGTGTTTGCTGTTTCAGAGGGCTTGCCTGGCTCTTCCAGTTTAACCACTAAGGAGCTGCAGCAGAACTGGAGGGCGGTGAAGCAGCGAGAGCGACCCGTCCGGCTGCTCTTTGAGATCCCCTCCACCCGCATCGTCGAGCACGTGCTACACAAATACGTGGTGAGACACCGAAACACACCCACCAGCCGACTCCAAACACTCTTGGATCCCTGTGATGTCATAGAGGTGAAATACCTTCTGTTTTTGAGGGACAGCCAATCAGAAGAGATTCTTTCAGACAGAGGATGAGGATGAGGGGCAAAGCGGCTAACCTGTAAATGTTCCCAGCTAACTTTCAGTGAAGGTGAGCCCGCAGGAAGTGAAAGTTTAACCTGAGGAGGAGGGGCTTATTTTCCAAAGGTGTGGCTGTTGGAGCAGGAAGCAGTAAAGGTGAACTCTGGTCATAAGAGGCACTGGCTGAGCAGTGAAATCTTTATATGAAGACATATTTGAGATAATAAGCAACCTAAAGACCAGCTTTAACACACCTGCCTGCACTCACCTGTCCACCTGCTGTGCGGTCCCAACAGTTTCCCTGCCTGCCACTGTCAGGTGTGTTCATTTTAAACCTCAAACATGTAAAACTCAGTCAGGGAGCTGTTCATTGATGAGTGCAGGTAACCGATGCCGTGCGGTCACAGAAGCTAATGTGCTCCATAATGAAGGAAATATTCAAACTGACACATCAGCAACTTTCTGCTTGTCTATGGTGCCCCAGAGGACCAAAACACAGCATCATCATCAGGACGAAGCACATAGTCCCTTAGTTATGGTGCAATAGGTGTAGGCTGCTGGGTGATTCCCATGATGCACTGGGTGTTTAATCATTAGTTATTATTAACTTCTGTCTCTCTTCTGTCTTCCTTCTCTCACCTCAACCAATCACAGCAGATGGCCCCGCCCCTCCCTGAGCCTGGTTCTGCTGGAGGTTTCTTCCTGTTAAAAGGGAGTTTTTCCTTCCCACTGTCGCCAAAGTGCTGCTCATAGGGGTCACATGACTGTTGGGGGTTCTCTGTTTTCTTTGTATGGTTGTAGAGTCTTTATGTTACAGTGTAAAGCACCTCGAGGTGATCAGTCGTGATTCGGTGCTGTATGAATGAATGTAATCGTCAGCATAACGTCTCAGAGAAAAGACGCCTGCGGTGGGTTCACCGTTGAGAGGGAACAGGAAGTCCAGCCTGTTTCTCTGACTGGCTGTTTGCGCTGCAGCAGAGTTAACTTTAAACTTTAAAGGTCAAAGGTCACGGTTCTTTCTGTTTGTTTGCAGCTCTACCAGGTGGTGGTGATGCGTTCTGGCAGCTTCGATTCCCGCCGTGTTTCGGTGGAGCGCCGCTACAGCGACTTCTCCCGCTTCCACCACAAACTGCTGGAGGAGTTTGACGAGGAGCTGGAGGAGGTGCAGCTGCCTCGCAAGATGCTCTCGGGGAACTTCTCCCCCGAGAGCATCGGGGAGCGGCGCCTGGCGCTGCAGGACTACCTGGCGAAGCTGTACGCCACGCGCTGCGTCAGACACTCGCCTTGCTTCTCGGCTTTCTTCACAGAGCAGGAGCAGCAGCGGGCGCACGGCCTGCTCCGGGCGGGGCAGTTCCGGCCAGCCGCAGAGCTGCTGCAGACCGTGCTGGACATCCAGGAGAAGCTGCTGCCCTGGCAGAAGCCCACCCTCCTCGTGCCCGCCCTTGCCGCCCTCGCTGTCTGCTACCGGGACCTGGACGAACCGGAGCGGGCGTTCTCCGCCGCTCAGAGAGTGCTGCCTCCGGTGAGGCGCTACGGACTGACGCGCTACAGAGCGCCGCTGCTGGAGCTGCTGGTGGACCTCGGGTACCAATTGGGCCGGCCCGTGGCTCAGCTGCAGGATGAGTTGACCGCTCTGAGAGATGCCGAGCGTGGGGAAGCGTCCTCCCACTCTCTGAAAGAGGTAGTGATCCAGGAGTTCCTCTGAGGGTGGAGCGGCCATCCACACCTGGATTAGCAGGTAAACCCCTGCACAGCCCCTGCCAGCTGTGGAAGTGTAACAGCTCACAGTGGGTCAGAGTACCCAGAGTACTGCAGTACTGTCCTGCAATAAAGTATTTAAAAGTAATTTTGGTATTGGGTCTGATTCATGATGTTTGATGATTAGCGATTAACGGCTGACTCTACCATGGAAATCTGACCACACAGTACTGAAGCCGCGTCATTGGTCATCCTGTGGTAGGTCTGGGTGGGGGTCAGCACCTGCTGCTCCAGGATCAGATCTCCGATCTGCTTTCAGTTGCTGCTCTTTGGAACAAGCTGCTGCTCACCTGAGATCAGTTACGACTGTGTGTACATTCAAAAACAGAACAAAGACCTTTTCGTTCACGCCGGTGTTTTTGTGTTTTGCTGTTTTTGCTCAGTTCAGTTGGAACCGTCTGTGTACTGCAAACGTTACAACAGGTTAAATCATCAGATTCAAGCTCGCTGTATCTCTCATGTTAATGAGCCAAAGTGCAAACTGTTCAGGTCTCACTATGTCACTTAGCTTGTTTATGTGCCCTGTATAGCTAACATCATCAGAGATTATGAGCTAATCTGAGATTTGGATTATCTGTTTATCATCCATAAGAGACCCATCTTACTGTAAACATCATTTTTGCACATGTGCATATTTACATGAGTATGTAAACAGATCCTGGAGCGTTAGCTTTTATCGATGTGCTTGTGAGCACAGGGCGAAAACCAACAGGTGAGTGGGGGTGTGGCCAAAGTCAGCACTGTAGTTATGATGCCAGGTTAGCTTCTGTTTGAGTACATTTGTTAATGACAACAGGGAACTGTCCGTGTTCTCGTGTTCTCGTGTTCTCTCCGGCTTCCTCCCAAACACATGAATAATAATACGTTTGATTTAAAGTCACCTCACAGAAACATGAATATAACATCAGTAAGGACAGAGGAGTCATGTGACAGGTGGAAGGAAGTGTGCTCTGAGAGGCTGGAAAGTGGAGAGTGATGGACGGAGGACCTGAGAGGGCGAAGATGTGTTCAGAGAAGAACAGTAGAGACTTAAAGGTGGAGAAGGTGGAGAAGCTTGAACTTGAACAGTGTTTAACCGCAGCCGGTGGAGTTGGTGGAGCACTGGTGTGACGGACTGACGGAGGAGTTCTGGTGATGACGGAAGCAGCAGAGCTGAGGATGAAGGTGCTGCTTGAACCTGACAGGAGACCCAGAAACATGTATGCTCTCAGAAACATGCCATGGAAAGTAATTAACTGAGTGTAATTTCTGGTTTTCTCCTTTCATTTCTTATCTTCTTCTCTTGATCTTTTACTTTTACAATTATTGAAGTTGTTTAAAAGAGGACAAATACCAATATGATCCCTAAGTTGTTTGTAATGGTTTACATTCCCAGTGCTTTTACCTTGTAAGGTAAATGGCCTGTATTTGTTTAGCTCTTTTACTAGTCCCCCCTAGGGACCCCACAGCGCTTCACACACCCAGTCATCCACTCATTCACACACTGGTGGAGGCAGCTACAGTTGTAGCCACAGCTGCCCTGGGCAGACTGACAGAAGCAAGGCTGCCATATCGCGCCATCGGCCCTTCTGGCCAACACCAGTAGGTGAAGCGTCTTGCCCACGACCGAGACTGTCCGAGCCGGGGCTCGAACCGGCCACCTTCCGATTACAAGGCGAACTCCCAACTCTTGAGCCATGGTCGCCCGTAAGGGTTTAAAAAAGTGGTAACTAGACCTGTTCAAGTATATTTACAGAAAACCACACAGGCAAAAAGAAATGAACTTTGTTCTACAATCATTAGATATAATTTCCAAGATCTAATTCCAAATAACTCCGACTTTATACAGATGGATGATGTGCACATGTGATTAATGACATTAGTTGGATTAACACAAATAAAATTCCTCACAGATCATACCTGATTCCCAGTTACAGTATCCTATGAGATATAGCAGAACTCGATCATGTGATTTGGTAACAGTCAGTGATGTCAGCAGAGGACAGGAGAAGCGTGATTTGTTTACTGGTAAGTTACCTTTCCTTCTAAATAACTGATTCTTCCATTTTTTTCATCCTGTTTCCTAAATCAGCCCATAGATCAGAACTCTTAATTACTCAAACACAGTGAGGGCTTTTTTTCTTCGTG